GAGTTGATAAGTGTGAATTAACTAGAGATATGTTGTGTTATTAACAGCGTGGATACTGTGTAACTTTTACTTTTCCGCCATACCTTTCGAGTAGGATTATCTATTTTCATGCAGATATCGGGTCATAGGAAATTTGCAGATTTCAGGATTATCGACCTCAAGAAGGTTATTAGCTTACAGGGAAATTCAATACTAACACAGTTCAGTCACATAATAGGTCGGAATTCACATATATAAAAGGTGACATAGTCAGATGGGAGGCGAATTCGATCACTGAATCCTTATTCTCCAAATTCACACAGATCACTTGTCACACGAAATAAGCTGAACCAATAACAGAGATATCGGCTATAATACCGGAAATAAAATCAGAGGATAAGAGATAATAGAAGTATAGAAACAACATCCGATGTTATGTCAGCACCTTGACAGGATTATGACTAATAAATTGCAGTCGACATGTCATCCAGATATAATACTGTATTACTCATTGTGTGGATTTCATCAAATATAACTACTATGTGATGACGGAAATGATTTCGTGCCTATTCTCCGCTAAACAGAAGAAGTCGGCCTATTTCTAATCCACCTGATTGCTCCTATTACAGGTGAACACGAAACATGTTGATGAGTGAGGAAGCAGTCGACTAAAGATGAGCATCCCATAAGCTCACTGAATCAAATCAACTCGAAGTAAATCAAAGTCATTTCTCTTCGCCTGATGTCACCACCTCTCACTCGATAAATGTAAACACCACAACACTCACAAACATATTCCCATCGAGTTTGCAGACTGACTGTACACAGTCAGACATCCACATGCCACTACTCGTCAACGCTTCATACTCCTCAGTCTACTAGGATATTCCAAACAATACAAAAACATCGACAACAACTGTCTGACTGATTGGCTGGCTGACTGACTAGCTGTACAAATATTCTCCTCCCAAAACTACACGTCAGCATTCGAGCCGTAGACCAGAGGATTCACTCACTAGAGATGTGAAGAGCTAAAGAGGGGAGAGGAAATACTTCTCACTAGTCTAAACCGTCGACTCACATCTACATAAACCCACATAAACGCCGTGATGATGGGATTCACCAGAATCAGAAACACTCCGTTTCATAAAGACCAATTGTGGACACAACAAATTCGCCCTACCACATTCTCTCCATGTCTCTCTATCTCTCTCTCTGTCCTTCTGAGTGGTTGTCACCATTAGATGAATGTATGCTGATGTACGATGTCGAGGATGTGTTCGATTGTGTAGACAAAGTCAGTGATATTAGTACGAGCAATGAAGCTATGAGATCCTTGGAAACGGTTGACTACATATGTGAACTAATAAATGACAAATCCATGAGTATTGGGATCCCAGTAGAAGTCGTTAAACGATTCCTACTAAAGTGAAGTATGAAGGTGAATGTTACATTTGACGATGAGGCGTGCAGAGAGGTGGTGGGTGATGTTCCAATGGGTGGGCTTTTGACTGCCTGTAAGCACAGCAGATTTCTTTCCGAGTAAACTAAAAGACAGTCTCTTGCAATGGTTCATCAGAAACTTCACCTCGATTTTCTGACTCATCGATTCATTCATTCGCCTCTCCGCTGTCGACTTTCTATAAATTCGTCGTCATTTAGAAACTCACAGGTGATGATAAGGAAGCATTTTCTACAACTTTCTTCGCTTGTTTCTACGTTTTCTCGACTCCACATTTTTCTCCGTATTTCAATACTTGTCTCCTTGTCAAGCGTGCTACTTGCGATAATCCGCGTCTCCATATTCTAAATCGCTTAGTTTTATGAAGCGGATTCCTGTTTCCAAGTGCTCTCAGTCTTAACGACAACCATTTCGAAACTCCGCTAATCCCTCATATAGTTGGTTGGTTAGATTATTTACGATCAATTAAACAGATTTCGATATTTATACGTCTTTTTGCGAATTTCACAGTGTTTTCTGAAAGGATTAATCTCACTCCACCCCACCCCACCTCACCACACCACACCACAACACAACACATTTGTCACACAAATACTGCTCATCTGTTCATCTCATAAATGGAAACTCACCTGATTTTAATTGAGTACTCCCCCTCCTCCATCATTCTACGTGAGAGGGAATCCACTGAAAACCTGTTAATTATGAAAATAATAAGAAACTCTATCTAATGACTGTGAGTTGTTGAAGGGAATTGATGCAAGGCATATGTGTCACATTCACACTGACACTGAATTTAAGTCTCCGGAATGGCTGGTTGGTCCATGTACTCTCTCCTGCCACAAACACACACACACACAGACACACGGACACACACACGCACACGCACACACAGAGGCACACAAACAAAACATACAGATGAGGTTTCGTTGAACAATCACGCTCATCATCACTTTGTTCGTGATTTTTCACACACCTCATCAACCTTTCTCTCCACAGGCACACGCACACAGAGAGAAGCAGAGAGAGGGGGAGAGAGAGGGAAGATAGTATGATTTCTGTAATACACTTATTCATTCTCAATGTAATTCACTGCCTGACAGTTTGGCTGACGTGAAATAAATTCTCCTGGTGTATTCATCCGTCCGTCCGTCCATCCATCCACAAACCAATAGACTGATCGATCAATCGATCGAAGGATAGTTTGCCTACTCTGAGAGATTTTCATGTTGTGATAGTGCAGTATGATGAAGAAGAAGAACTCTTCACCTTGTTCGACCAATTATGGACTAGACATGAATGAAAACGATAAAATATCTCAGACCTATAGCAGATGGAGAGTAGAGAGTCAAAGGCTTGCATTAAAAAACGCCCCCATTGACACGCACACACACACAGAGAGAGAGAGAGAGACACACACACAAATGCACATGCACTACATCGCGTGCCTTCAACAAAAATAACACTCCAACTAAGAAATAATTTATCAAGATCATCAAATCATTGGTAAACTATTAGTTGCTTAATGGTGAACAAACTAAACTAAACTAAGTGTGTGCAAAGTGTACAGAAATCTCAGAGTAATTCATTGCAGAATATTTTCTCCTCATCCACGATCCATCTCCACGTAGAATAGCATAGCAGTCTGTAGTATATCAAATCAAATGATACGGAGAATTGTTATTACAACACAGACGATAGATTACAGCTCAATTAACTTAACCACCTTCAGCATTTGGCTGTTCATTTAGTTTTACTATTTCTCTGGGAAAGGAGAGAAATTGTTGCCACATCTATGTATCATGGTGTAGTGTGGTGATGTAGAGAAGGCTGAAAATTGCATTCTGTGTGAAAATTATGATGGCATGAAAGAAAATATTAAGTAGTTGAGTAGTTGAGCAGATACACTGGTTGTGGTAGTCAATTTGTTCATGCATGCATCCATGCATGCAATCATTCTCACACTTTGTTGACTTCTCTCTCACGCATTCACCCACCCATCAATCCATTCACTCAGTCAGTTAGTCAGGCATACACAGACACTGTCATAGTCTCAATCAGAATTCCAGTCCATCCATCCACTGTCTGTTTGTAGGCTATTTTTGCTGTGTTCTGTTCTGTTGACTCATTATAATGCAAAACACACACTGTTCACATTGTTCAACCAATGAGGAGTTAGACATGACATGGGTGAGAAGGATTGAAGGTCACAGGTAGACTGGAGACAGAGGGTAGAGGGCAGAGAGAGGAGGAGGGAGAGGGAGAGTGAGATAGGCTGTTTGTGGGTGGGTGGACTAACACACCCACACTCACACTCACACACTGCATCACGTCGTCCAATCAAAACACGATTTCGACCCTAAAGTCAAGGGAATACTGTTGCTGACGAGTGAGACAAATTATATTGGAAAAAATAACAACCAACGATCGATAAATCTTCCTAGCCTTTTCACTTTCAAAAGTCTATTTGATTGGCTCACACTGGTATCCTCGTATCTTGCATGTATGTAATTTAAAGTAGCAAACGCTAAGCGAAGACATAGACAGGATAGATTAATTCACCCAGTAGAACTAACTAACTAACTAATAAACTAACCGACAGCGGGAAGTATTAAATCATAATACGGGATTGATATCTGTGAAAATCACTCACTCACTCACTCACTCAATCAATCAATCAATCAATCACTGGATTATTCCTTAAAATGGCCACTGCACGTCCGACACAATCTGAACTAATCAGACAACAAGCGAAGTTAATCACGCCGACAAGATACACAGATGATGAGATGAAATTATTGACAGAATTAGTAGTGGAACACAAGAATCAGCTTATGCCTGAATACGCGTGGATCAAAATTTCACAGCGTCTTCACAATAGAAACTGGTCCCCCTATTGCAAACGTTATTTATATATATGTCTAACGACCCAATGAATAAATGAATCGATGAGTGACTGAATGAATGAATGCACTACCTGAAGGTTTAGTACTGATTAGCGAAAGGAGATAGAAAGAGAGGAGAAAGGCTGAGTTACTTGGAAATATGCTGGGATGTGTTTGTGTCATTGAGAGCTTATTTAACAAGAGACATCTAGGTACAGAAAGAGTCAAAAGGAGAAGTGAAGTTGAGAAACGTGCAACGAAGGCATTTGGCACAGGAGTTGTTGACATCTGTTTCGTCGCGTATTGGTACTGTGCTCTGATACGTTTCATCGATACATATTGTTTATTCATGTGTTCGTGTGAGACCGACTTAGGGAGAGAAATAGACAACGAGTGTATCGAAGGTGATTCGTACAATTGGTAATGAAGTTAAGGTTAAGGTGGAAAGTGTGGAAGTGGGGAGGTAATTGAGAAGACTACGGGATTGTTTGTTGTAGGTGGTTGTGGATAAGTTAGTAGTCGGACATGATATTGAGGAGAGACAGATTTTGTTGTTGGTGGTGGTGTTGAGTGTTTCGACCTGTAGTTATGTGACCGTTGTTGTGGATTTCACAACTTCTCATACTTACTTGAGTTATTTTGTGAGGAGTAAATAACAGAATTTTCTCTCCCTGTAGATGTGATGTGGATGAGAGAAGAAGACGTGAGTCGTTACTGTTTGAGAAGAAGATGCGATGTCTGGATTTGGAGATTGAAGCTGCGGAAATGTGGCTTGAAAGTATGAGAATGATGAAAGAATATTATTGTAGGAAGTGGAATTCATTGTCGCAATCTTGAAGACAGAATGAGGAAGGAAGTACGCGTAAATCAGATATCCCTAGTTTTTATTAATTTCGATATTTATAATAAATATTTACATGTATGTATTCACTAATGATGTCTTTTTGAATGAGTTACTGTAGCGTGTAATTTGAAAATAGTTTTGGTGAGTAATGTGGCATGTATTGTGAAAGAGAGCATGTGTAGCCAGCCAGCCAGCGAGCGACTTAGTTGGCTGGCGTCCTCCGGTGTAGAAGGTGTTCTGGGAAATGTGAGTTTGATTTTGTCTACTTATGATGATGGGAGCCAGCCCGACGATGTGGGTGTTGTGAGTGATTGAAATGACGACGTGGGATTTGTTTTGACTGATAGTTGTTGTGCTTGAAACATTGTATGTGTGTGTGTGTTTGTGGTTGGGGGGTGGGGTGGGGAGTACAGGTGATGGATTTGTGTTTGTTTTGTGATTTCGATGATTGGTAAAATGTGTTTAGGTGAGATTAATCGTACAGTTGCTGTTGTTGTTGTTGTTGTTTTTGTTGTTGCATTGATCGAATGGAAATGGATTGTGATGAGGAGAAGAGACACGTTGGTTAACTAACCATCCATGCATCGATGCGTGTATCCTGTGTTAGAGAAATCGGCCTGATGAACTCATGATATTCAGCGTAAACAAGTGAGTAGTGGGTGAAATGTTCATGTTGAAGTGTGTTGAAATAGCAAGACTCTGGATAGAGTCTGTGTTAGTTAGTCAGTTTGTTTAGTAAGCTTTGATTTATCAAATGATAGTTTGGTTAGACATCTGGTGTTTTCTCGTGTGGCTATATGAATGTGAATGTGAATATGTGATGGATGATGGGTTTGAGGCTGAATATACGGAGGTCAATGTATTTTGATGAGATGTTGGTGGAGAATGATTTAAGAGGTTCATGTTCACTGACAATCGAGGTGATAGGATCATGTTCAACTAGGTGTTATAGTGTCATGATGATGAGGGTAGGGTCATGATGCATCGAATCGTTTGTGTAGTTAATAATTCCTGGTCATATTTATTCAGTCAGTTAGACGGATGGATGATTTGATTGGTGTGTGGAGAGCATAGTTGACTACTTTTCTTATTCTGCGTCTGAACCTTCATGACTTGTGTTCGATTTGAATTGTATTCATGCTGATTGTAAACTTGAGATGAATAATGAAAATATGCAGAGAATGTAGAGACGAGGAGGTGGAGGATTGTGCGTGTATGTGTGTGTGTGTACTGCATTCTGTAAGTGCATTAATTGATTGATTGGCTGATTGATTGATAAATTGGGAAGACGAAATGTTTGTTCGTACAGGCGTAAAAATGAAGGATGATGTGATGTGATGTGATGTGGTGTAGTGTGGTGTGGTGAATTTAGTGAAAGAGCAAGGCAGATCATGCGTGAATGTCATGGCTGAATGGAGTAATTATGAATTTGTTGATTGCACACAAGACCAGGTCTACAATATTGACTGAACTTGTTCCTTTCTCACACAGATCGATGATCAGTGGTTGGTTTAAGCGAATTGCAACAACCTCTGCTGCTTCTAGTGTTCAGTGTCTAGAGGCATTTGGCATGATAGGAGAAGATTGTTCAATGCTCGTTTTCTGGTGTGTGTGTGTGTGTGTTGGACCAGGTGGTCTAGTATAGTATGTAAGTAACTGTTGATGGCTTCTGCTACATGTTTATTCAGCGAGACTGGTAGGCATTTGCAAACATGAAAATCAAGTAGGTGATAGACGAGAAGAGCTGTTTTCGACTTTCTTGACGATGTAGTTGGTGATGAACTGTTCGGGATAGCTACTTTCAGTTGTAGCGTTGTATTCAATGTTAAGTTGATCATCAATTACACCTTGTGAAAATACAGCTGTGAAACTGTAACAAGGTGAGTGTCGCTACCAAATTTCTTTTGTACTGCAGAGAAATGAATGTATGAAAATATGTATATATATGGATTAAATGCATATATTGTTCACTTTAGCTTGCTGCACGATGAAGAAGTGGTTGGTTTTGAGGCAAGAAGTCTGTACACTGAAATCCGAATTAGCGGAGCTCTGTAGGTATTTAGGAATGATGAGGTGGATATTGATGGTCAACTGAAAATAGGACCGAAGTATCGCTTTGAAGTGGTTTCTGCCTACACATATATATATGTATATCGCGAATTGGTAGATGTTGAGATTGATGGACTAGCCATTGGATTGGGTCCAAGTGTCTGAATGGTCTACGATCTGTCCTCATGGTCGGAAGGTGATGATGTGGGACACTGTCGCGAGGGTACCGCTGAGTAGTGTCATACTAGAACGAAATATCTGTCCAGTATTCCCTCCCTGGTTTCCATGCAGCCTAACAATTATTTCTCAGAATAGTCGACCTCTTTAATAATGTATATCTATCTCACTTATGAAGGTGAGTGAAATTATCATTTCTTGATTGCATTGTCTTTCATAGATGTTGACAATGATGCCTGTATGACAATTATGTGGTTAAGAATGATTTGTCAGATAACCGGGAGAGCGTATGTTGAAGCCGTATGTTCGACTCGTGACCCAAGGGAACAACAGTGCATATAATAATAAAAAGACAATCAAGTTAATTGGTAGTTACAGGAAGGAAGGAAGGAGCGGTCAGCCTAGAATGTTCACATTTCAGATTCGGTATTGCAATTAGGTGTGTAGAGAATATTGACTGGAAACTGTGAGGACTACAAATTCTGTGGATATTTATTTTCGACTTTCTGAGTCATCTACTTCCTTATGAACTTCTCCGGACAGCTACATTTAGTTAAGCTATCATGTTGAGTATTTAGCTCGTCGTGAGTGATATCTTCCCAGTATACAGTTGGCACTTTATAGCTGAGTGACATTGTCTGATTACTTTTGTACATGTTGGCTGACACGAAACTATGGGAATGCGTACATTGTCCTGTCCATTTGCTTTTCTCAAATGGACTTCATTTTATGTGATCTTCTTGTGACAAAGACACCGACGAAGGTGATTTACCCTTGGGATTCTTCTTCATACGTGATTTTGATGGTTGGATGTATTTCAAAATTCATTGAAATGGCGGTGTATCATGCATGATGTTATCTGAGTCATTTTGACAAAGGATAAATACACCATCTAATCTATGTGTCGACAAAGAAATGTGAAGTTTTTGATGAACCTTTGCGAGAGATTGTCTTTTAGCTTACTTGGGAAGAAATCTGCGGTGCTTACATGCAGTCAAAAGCCCACCCATTGGAACATCACCCACCACCTCTCTGCACGCCTCATCGTCAAATATAACATTCACCTTCATACGTCACTTTAGTGGGAGTCGTTTAACGACTTCTACTGGGATCCCAATACTCATGGATTTGTCGTTTATTAGTTCACATATGTAGTCAACCGTTTCCAAGGATCTCATAGCTTCATTGTTCGTGCTAATATCACTGACTTTGTCTACACAATCGAACACATCCTCGACGTTGTACATCAGCATACATTCATCTAATGGTGACAACCACTCAGAAGGACAGAGAGAGAGATAGAGAGACATGGAGAGAATGTGGTAGGGCGAATTTGTTGTGTCCACAATTGGTCTTTATGAAACGGAGTGTTTCTGATTCTGGTGAATCCCATCATCACGGCGTTTATGTGGGTTTATGTAGATGTGAGTCGATGGTTTAGACTAGTGAGAAGTATTTCCTCTGCCCGCTTTGTCTCTTCACATCTCTAGTGAGTGAATCCTCTGGTCTACGGCTCGAATGCTGACGTGTAGTTTTGGGAGGAGAATATTTGTACAGCTAGTCAGTCAGCCAGCCAATCAGTCAGACAGTTGTTGTCGATGTTTTTGTATTGTTTGGAATATCCTAGTAGACTGAGGAGTATGAAGCGTTGACGAGTAGTGGCATGTGGATGTCTGACTGTGTGCAGTCAGTAGTGTGTGTTGGAAAATAAACAAAAAAATATCCTCAATGAAGTCACATGCATTCATCTTATTTTCACTGCTCCATACACTCATTCACTCACTTCACAAAAATAAAATCAGGTTTTAACCTGAATGTGAAAACACATCACAGTTTGACAAGAATCAATCATATGAAGTTGGTGTTGCATTTCTGTATCTCATGCATTTCTCCTCTCTTGCAGAATGTCGAACATTGTACTGCATATATTATTGCTCGGTCTATTTGTGTTTAGTCACGTGTGGAGTGATGGTGAGTGAAGAGAACAAGTGTTATTTTAATTCAGTAATGATGTGATATACTTGTTAGTATGCTTGATATTTCATGGATGATGGGCGATTTGATGAGGAACGTACACATTTGATGTCGAATTTCACAGAATGTGCCTCCTCCGGTGTAGATGACCACCGAGTACTACTCCTCTAACGGTTTTGAGATTTTGATAGGTGATGAAGTGTAGATGGTTGTTATTTATTTTATGTGTTATCACGTAGCTCACATTCTGAATACAACATGTGATAGGGCCAGTATCGAAGTGACCAAACTTCCTTTTTTATCTGCCGGTTCAAACAGTAGGCTTTGAATGAACTATGGACAGACACACCGATGAATGTTATACAATGATCGATATGTGGACGTTGATTGTGCACTAGATAGTAACCAATGTCATGCGTCTACTCATTAGTGTCAATGCTGAATAAATTCTCCCAGTGAAGTGTGCTACGTATACTTTCATTCCGACTAAGTTGCAGATACGTCCTTCTGATGTTTTCTAGTTGACACATGACCTTGGTTCACAGCTTAGAAAATTATTGAATCAGTCGGATGACATCAAATAAGTCATATATACTTCATGAAGGGAAGAGAAATACTCTTCCGTACAGAATAATAACAAAGAGATACTGTCAGTCTGGTGAGAGTGATTAGCTGTACAGCTGTTTCCGTTGCTGTGTATTCATTCTCAAATACGATTCTTTTCAAGGAGATTGTATGTTTGGTAACCTCCGTATATTGGTCGCTTCAGTTGACGTTTGTGTTAGAAAAGATGACCGATGACTGAAGGCGATTGATAGGAATGCCAGACGAATATTTTCCCAAATAGGCACACGAAATATGTGGAGTAATATGGCGAGATAAGATTTCATTAACACTGATGAACTCGGATTTTGTTGCATCCGATAATATATAATAATCGTGTTGAAAATTCTAAACCACTGTATTATGCATTCAATTGGATGGTGAAGGAGGTGGATAGAGAGATTTGAAATGATCTAGCACTGTGAAACGACAGTGTTCATTGATATAAGTGTAGCTGGAATGGTGGAGGAAGAAAATCAGTGTAAACTGAAGTGTCTTGAGTTTCAAACTAGTTGAGTGATTGAAGCTGAAATGCTGGAAATTCTCAAGTCTCGGTGACAGAGTTATCCAGTGAGATTTGCTTCTCCTTTGCTTTATTTTTATGAC